ATATCAGAGGCTTTATTCTATTTTTGATGAAGCAGACACACTTTTAAGTGTTCTGTCCCACACAGCAAACATCTGCAGATAAAACCCAATACATATATCCATTCATTTCATTATAAATAATCAAAACTAGATGATCATAACCCCATGTTCTCAAGGTGAAGTGACACTAACATGATCTACATGTGTCCTCTAATTGGGACAGTATTCGGACACCATATGTCTTTGAATGGACAATAACAAACATCCAGCTCCTCATAGTCACTAAATAAAAACAGTCTTACCCTCCAGGTAGAAAGCCTTGCACCCGTCGTCCCGCAGCTTGTGCAGCAGAAGCCCCAGCACCGAGCTCCCCAGCCCGGACTCCTGCCGCTCGGAGGTCGCCTCGTCGTACAGCACCACCACGTCCGTCTTGCAGCGCTTGACGAATTTCTCCTTGTCCTCGTTGTTGGGGATGATGGAGCGGATGGGCAGGTTGCCCTTCTTCAGCCTGCGGAGCATGAGGCCCGGGATGGCCAGGTTGATGGCGGACTCGATGTGCGAGGACTCGTACAGCTCGTGGGCTCTGCAGTCCAGCAGCAGCAGCGCGCCGGCCCCGGACTCCAGCTCCTCCTGCAGCCACTCCACGCTCTTACCGGACAGCATCATCGTCGTGGTCGCGATCACGGAGCCGCTCCACGGGTGAGTAATGACCATCGGGGAAACGTGACTCCGCCGCTCCGCTGCCGTGACATGAAGAACCGCGCACAGCGAGAAGAGGAGGAAATCACGGCGCTAAACTTCCCTCCCGGACACCGCCGCTTCTCTGAGGGCGCGCACACACACACACACACACGCACCCAGCACACGCTGCCACACACATCCAACACGCGCGCACCGATGCCCCTCTGGCCGGAGCAGGAGGCTCCAACATGCAGAGGTTTCCTCTCTCCCTCCTTCAGTCCACCAGGAGAAGCGGAGTTGTCACTCCAGCCCATCGACGTCCATCCAGGCGTCCGGCTCCGAGGCGTCCCGCAGACCAACGACACGGCCCCGAAGAAGCCTTGCTAGCGTCTCAGGAGCTCGGTGTGCGGGATGAGCTGCCGCCGTTAAAGTCCATGACTTCGGTTGTTCTCCCACTCGCTGGCCCGGGGAGCCTCTGTGGTCTGTGCCCGATTCTGGATGCGTCCAGGAGGCTGAGCCGCTGCGAGGAGGGAGGAGCGCACACGGTTAAAGGCGCAGAGCAGTCAGTCACATGAACACAGTGTTTTCATGACATTACTGCTGCTGCCCATTCATTGACTGAGCACACAGCAGTCTATTAGTGATATAGTGATAATGATCACATAATAAAGATGCAATAATAACACTGACGATAATAAATGATGATAATTCAAATGATCTGAAATGGTCAAATCTGCAAATCAAAGTCAGAATTCAATCATGTAGCCTGTCTCAGACACGTCCATTTATTCAGTCCATTCATTGATTGACCAGACAGCAGTACAATATATAGTAGTAATATAATAATAATGAAAAATAATAAAAAAATGGATATTAGTAAATTGATATTTGCCCTGTGATACGTTGGTGTCCTGTCCTGGGTGAACCCTGTCCCTCGCCCAATGTCAGGTGGGACGGGCCCCATCTCCCCCGACGACCCTCAAAGGAAAAGCAGTCAAGATAATGGATGGATCAGGTTCACCTGTACAGTTCAACATGACCCAACACGACTGCCATCAACTCCACTTGTATGATGTTTATAATGTTCAGTCTTTGATGACACCGTCATAGAGGTGATCATGAAATCATGTGTGTCAGCATTGAGGTCTGCAGTTTCATGTTTGGAAAAAACCAACATAGACTCACCTCAGTACAATCACAGTTACACACAACAATATCATCAAAATGTGAATATGAGCCTGGTATATTGGACTGAATTAAAATTGTGTAGGTATTGTGCTTTCCTAGTGTAGATGACCACTCAAAGCGCTTCACAGTACAGTTTTTGCCGTTAACATTAATACAGTGCATCTATGTGCAGCAATTTGGGGTCCATGGACACTTTGGCATATGAAATGGTGAAGACTGGGCTCAATCCACGAGCTACTGGACAGATGACTACCGCTCTACCCCCTGAGCCAAGCAGTCTATTTGAAGAATTACAATGATCAGCTCCTATATGCTCCTGCACTGGGCCATGATGCCACATGAGGCCACATCCATAGAACCCATGCAACAAGCTGACAGCACATATAGGGACCAATGCTGTTCCTATGGGCAGTACAGTGTGGTGTCTTCACTGGACGAGGGATATGTCCTCTGGTGCGTTTCCTTATCTGGACTGAGGGTAAAAGGTCAGAGTGTTGTATAATCTTCAGATTGTCAAGGCCTCTCTGGAAAATGTGTGATATTTGCTGTTGGGATGTGAAACTGATTGTTTCTCAGCATCTTTAAACGTATTTAGTGGTGATCACAACTCAGTGTTTAACTAACATTCACTGAGCAGTAGTTTATCAGGTGGGATTTTTACCTTAATGTTCAGTCATTAAATGTAATACTGTTTTAGTGGTGTAACACAGAATTCTTGGCTCATATAGCAGGAGTGCAAAGTACATTTTCCTCTCGTCTACACAAGCCTCACTCAGTCGAACACCTACATCTCATCCACACCTCCACACACTCACTTACGAATCAATTACTGGACACGTTCCCAACTGAAAATTGCTTTTTGCTGCAAACCACACAGAACTAACACAGTGACACAAATCGACACTCATCTCTGTCCGCACAAACTCTGATGTCTCTATCGCGCAGCAAAACCTCAGCCAAATCTTTCCTCCTGTTTTTTTTTTCTTGGTGACACAACAGCTGCTGCATCACACTTTAAGGGGTTTTGTTGGAATTGTGTTCATATTAGTAATAATGATAAAATAGTAACTTTATTTGTAAAGTGCTTTTAAAAAGACGACAAATAAAATCAAGAATACAAAAAAAAAGAGAGGAAGCCCAATAACACGATAGCGTTTAGAATCAATGACAGTAAATCATATGATACAAAATCTCAAATAAAACTTCATTTGAAATGAATGGCAAAGGAAAAGGAAAAAAGAAACAGTCACGTAAAAGCCATTCAGTGGAAGTAGGTTTTTTTCTTATTTGAACAAAATTCTTTCCAAATCAGAGCCGCATGAAATAAAAACATTAATTATTTAGAAACACATTTGGGGGAAATGCATAATGCAGCTCAGTTGTCCTTGTAAGCTTGATTTTGAAGTATCATCCTAGTTCAGGGTCATGGAGCTGAAAGTACCAGTGCAACAACGTATTCATCTTCTAAGTGGTGTCTTTACATTGCTGGTTTACCCGAACAACAGTCACCACACAGGACACCACAATATAATCTGTTTATAATGAAATTACACACGATTAATTGAATTAACTGAATTATTTGATTATCAAAACTTATTTTTGCTTCTGTATTATTTATTTTTGTCGCATTATTTGTTAATTTAATCATAATCAGGAAAATTATTCTCAACTATATAAACAATATTGTTACAGCGATTCTTCAGATTTGAAACTATGTTTTCTACTTGATGATATATTCTGATCGATTCAGAAATCGTACAAACGGTTGCTAATTATTTTTCTGTCAATCAGTTAATTCTACCAACGATTTTTGAATTAGTTAATAGCTGTGAATCCTCAGTCCTAAGTCCCCAACCAGACAAATGATATTTATATTGTACGGTGATGTTTTGCAGGATCCTCTGTCTATTTGTCACAGCTCAGTGGTAGTTGTGTAGCTGCTGCACAACACAACCCATCACTGGGTCATCGCTATGTTTCACCATGAATGACCTAATGGGACATCAGCAGGTTGTGACAGAGGCAGAGAGGGGGAAACGAGGAAAAGAGGAGTGTTTGATTTCCTCACAGCTGCAGAGAGGAGGAGCGGGGGATGCACCAGCTGCAGACAATGGCTCTTTATCCCCCCAGTGACTTACGCGCAAACACACACATACACACATTACTAACAAAATGCAGACGCACACATACACGCGTACACAAACGGATACACACCGACTTTAGGCCTCTTGTGTTTCAGCTCCCTTCATGGACAACAACAGGCTCTCTGAGAGTGTGTGTAGACACTGTGTGTGTTTGTATTTGTCTACTACCCAGTGGTAAAGAAAACTATCATTACTTATTCTAAAACTTTCACAACGGAGGACTGTGACTTTCTTCACGGTGACACTCCATCAGAATTCATCGGAGGAAGACAACCTGTCGCTTTAAAGGCACCAGCAGACAGGACGATAAAGTGTCAGTCGCCATCTGTGTCGGATGTGCACGATATAAATTTTGGGGCTATGTGAGATGAATGCAGGGTGAACCTTGTTATTGTGCTACGATATATCGGTAAAACTGATGCACACACACACATTTCATCCACTGCCATCATTCATCTGCACTTCTCTCGTGTTTCAAAAACCTACAGCAAAACAACGATCAAGCTTTGGCGCTGGCAGTGCTTTAAGAGGAGGAGCAGATAGTGAAGCTGGATCACGGCCGGGGTAAAAGACGACAACCTGACACACACATTCTGAAAAGCGAGTTCGACATCAGATGCGTTGATGATATTTAATTTTGTGTGAAGCGTGTTGACCCACTGCTCTTTACGAGCATGCAGACTCAACTCATCACATCAATGATTCACAGCAATATGTGAACTCCTATTGTCGACTTGTGACGTATTTAAATACAAAAAGAAACAAAACCAACACTGTAGTATTTGATTACAACCATAAATCATTTATTAATATTCAGAAAACACACACACACACAGGTAGAGGTTATACATAGGCTATTATATTATATTATGATATACATTGTTTACATTATTGGTTTGGAGGGGTTTGTTTTGGGGAGTAGGAATGGGTTGAGGGGTGGGAGAGTAGGAGGGAGGAGTAGGGAGTGTACGGGGTCAGAAGGGGGGTAGGGGTGAATGCTGAGAGGTTTCAGGGCAAACGTCCTCTCGTTCCTCTCGTCTTTGGAGGATAATCTGTCTCCTGGTTCAGGAGTTCATCTTGGTCCTCCACCTTTACAGTCTCCAGCTGCGCCACTCGTCTCCTCCTCCTGACCTGTCTATGTTCTAGCTTGTTCTCCATGTCACTGAGCCTGTTCAGGCAGCCGAGGTACAACTTGACAGAAGCTGCTCTTTTCCTGCTTTCGTTTTTCACCAGCTCCTCTTTATGTCTGACCTCCTCCTGGAGCTTTGTCTGTTCACATTTTAGTTTGTGAACTTGCTCCTTCATAGTCTTGTTTTCTTTTTCGACGGCGTCCACCTTTCTGCTGCTCACTCCCTCAGTAGGAGTTGTCTGCCGCTGCAGCCTCGCTTCCTGCGTCTCTGCCTGACTCCTTTTGACCTCGTTTTCTTTGACCGTGAGCATGACCAGGGAGTCAAGGTAGGTGTTGGTTTGAATACCCCTCCTCTTGGTTGTGGTCACAATGAGCTCGTCTTTCTTTTTCAGCTCATCCTCGAGCCTCCTCTGTCCGGTCTTGAGCACGTTGACCTGCTCCTTCAGAGCCTCGTTTTCCTCGTCGACCCCCAACTCTCTGCTCCAGCTTGTTTCAGGCTGAGCTGGCTCCTGGTGCACACTCGCCTCCGGATCCTCACACTCGACCTGATACTCAGTGAGCTGGGCCAGGCAGTCTATGTAGGCCCTGAGGCGAGCTCTAAGTTTCTTGCTCTTTTTTCGCAAGAGATCATCACTAACTTTCAGCTGCTCCTGGAGCTGCTCGACCTGCTCCTGTAGAGACGTCTTTCCCTCTTTGAGAGCCATAATCTCACCCTTGGCTTGGAGGAGTTCGGCTCTGAGGCTCGCCACAATGTCTTGGTGCTGCATGGTCAACAAACAGAGCAAATCTACTTCTCGCTGAAACTCGACAAAAACTTGGGCTCAAGTTCGATTGAAGATCGTGGAGAGATCCAAACGCTTCTGCTCTCTTCAGGATCGTCGACTCAAATCACAGGAAATATTTACATATTTGCTTTGATCCTTTCAGGAACAGAAATACTGGTGACAGTGAGTGCAGCCTCCTCAGAAAAGGTCCAGTGCATGAACCATAAATCCACAATGACCTTTTCCACGTTCACACTGTGTCACTCTTTACATCACCTCACCTGGCTTCTTACAGCCTTTCTGTTGAAAGCAGGGTTTGATAAGCACCTGACGGCTGCACACGTTTACACCACCCGACATATGGTGCTTATTAAACAGAGCATTGCAACAATTTGTTCCGTCCTGTAAGCCCTTCTTTTAAGGCCAAAAAAAAAAAGGTGCTTTGGTATCCACTGCACCTTTCCATGTTCCATATGAAACAGCTGAATATCTGCAGTGTGACTATATTAAACCAGTTGAAGATTTTTGTGTGTGAATGCTCTGATGTGCTCCAGGCAGCAGCACGCCTGGAGTATGCGTGATAACTGCAGCATTTTAATAATTTACATTCCCTTACGCAAAAAAGTGAGGAGAATTAAACTTTCAGCTCTGCCTTGTGCTCTGAATGTCTCTGGAAATAATGGTCATTTCCGATTGGTTAACGAGGGAATTATATTTCTTTGTGGACTCGTCTGGGGTTTTTCTTCCCTATGAAAGGCAGTAAATTGATGATTTCTGAAGCAGAAGATCTGCCCATATCCCTGGAAAATCACCCTGGGTTGTATCCAGTGTTCAGAAAAAGTCTCCCATTCATTGTCAGTGGAACGGATCCAAAACCCTTTTTTTCAGAGATTAAAATGTTCTCGTTTCAGGCTTCCGCAGAGATTTCAACTTCATGTTCACAAGACTGAACTGTGTTTGTTCAGTTTGACATTTGTAGCTCAAATGAATTCTGATTAGACAGGATCTGTTGTGCTTTATCCTGGTACAACAATGTTACTAATTAAACAATGTATTTTATACAAATGTGTTGCATGTATCGCACCACTACAATGTAAGTTCTTTCCCTTGTCTCCTAAAGAAAATTGGGAAAAATACCAACTTGGCATTGAGCACCTCTTCTCGTTCCTGTTTGTGTCTGATGTCTCTTTAAGGCCGACTGTGGTTTAAACCCACTCACCTCAGTGATGGAGCGAGGTGGCCACCCCTCTCCCACGCTAACACTGGCATTTCCTCTGCTGTTTCCTTTGCCCCCAAACACGCAGGTCGACAACACATAAAAAAAAAACCAGGCCTGGAAAACGTATCAGGAAAATCTGCCTCCGTCTCTGCTCGGCTGTTCTGTGCTTTGTATCTCTTCAGTAATATGCCAGACGTACTGTGTGCAGGCACCAAGACTGATAGTGATAAAGCTTACTGGTAAAAATTAATGAAATGAAATGAAAGATAAAGACCGAGTCTGTGTGGTTCCAGAGAGGACGGAAAAAGCTTCTCTGGTTTTTAACCTCAGTCTGCGCTTTATTAATAGAGAGACCCACCATAAGATCTCCAGCTTGTGCACGTGTCGGGTTATTTTAAGAGAAACGTGATCATTAAAATCTCACAATCTACTCCAACACACACAGAATCAGTTCATGAAAATATAGAGTGGCTGTAATCGGATCATTAATAACAATTTCACTTTCCAGGAACCAGGCAGTTTACAGAAAATCAAATGTCAATGAAAATTCATTATTTTTCATTAATCAAAAAAAAGAATCCTAATTTTATTTCTAAAATATAAGGATGTGCAGATTTCCTCTCTTTGACATTATTATGTCCGCCAAGGAGGTTTTCATCCTTGTCTGTTCATTTGTTTGTTTGTGAGCAAGATAAAACAAAAACTACAGGAAGGATTGCCACAAATCTTAGTGGAGAGATGCATTATGGGTTAGAGAAGAAGCCATTCATTTTTGTGGATGATATCTTTGAGCCTGAATTTGGATCTAGTAAATTAACATGTGGGTTCATGTGGGGACTATTGGTAGAAGTATGTACTCTCTGCTTGCCATTCTAGATTTTCTCAAGATTTTAGAATTATTATACTCAAATTTGTACAAGGATGTTTAAGGCAAAACAATAAAATTGGGAATTTGACGCTTTCACGTGTGCCTAGGTATTGGTCTAAATTACCCGGAGGCAGCTAACATCATGGACCTGATGCTTTTATTCTGCACAAATGTGATGGAAGGACAGAACACTCTCTCTCAAAGACAGCTGCTGAAACAGCGTGAAACATCTGGGATGAGATCATGGGGTGAACTGGTGCAGCGCTCACTGTTTCACACCAGTGGAAAGAAAAGCCAGTGTTATCGCTGGGGTCTTCAGTGGAAGCGTGCAAACACTGGGGGCCATGAATCTTTCAGGAATCTCAGAGATTGTCCAGGTGTGGCAGTGAGTGGATAGGTTTAATACAGTGTGTGTGTGCGTGTCTATCTATTGTAGAGAAGCGAACACGTGCTTGTGCTGTGAATCTCTCTCGGCTAGATTCATTATTCAAGACCAAACAAGAAAGATAGAGAGACTAAGATAACAGATCGGAATGAGAGAGAGAGATGAGAATCCTGAGAGACAGATAATGTACGTCTGGATGAAATGGAAGAAAAGAACAATGACATGAAACATTAATGATTGTGATGTAATATTTTCTTAATTCAGGTTGTATATATGTGGTTGTATTTGTGTGTGAGGGTCTGATAACGTCATCTTAGGAATCATTGACAATTTATTTTGAACCTCTGCCAATAGATTATGTTTTCACCCCTGTCTGTTTGTTTGTTGGTTGGTTTGCAAGATTACGCAAGAATTTCAAGATGAATTGCAAGGAAATGTTTTCACTTACTTCCCAGATAAATTCACAGATTTTGATGAAAAAAGAATCAGGCATATTTAAGAAACTGATATTTATGAGTGTTTACAATTTGGTGCAGCTGGTTTGAATGTAAGAGGACTGTTGGAGGTTTAATATCAGCCGATATGATGGTATCAGGGTTTGGATGTGCTCTTTGAGTCAACGGTAGAAATCCAAACTAAACCAAGTCACCCAACTGTCGTCTGAAAATCACTGCGCTGCTGCTCTGAGTTTGGATCAGCTCCTGGAAACACATCTGACTGGTTCTCAGTCCAAGTGATGATCGAACAAATCAACGGACCGACAAGACAAAAACCTAATTCTGTTTAACTCTTGATTTGAAAGGTGAAATCTTTTTCTTTTAAGAGCATCTGTAATCCTCACCCTGCCTACTGTAATAACCTGTCGAGCAAACAAGCTGTATCCACGTACGGTCAGATTGTAAAAGCATCAAGGTGAGTCACTGTGTGTTAACTCACTCACACACACACAGACACACACACACCTTCATTCTAACCCCATTATATCACTATGATGGCTAATGGGTGGGGCCACGAAGGCAGATGGTCAAAGGTGGTGAAATAACACTAAAGATCTCCTGAGGAGTTTTTTACTTGTGTTCAGTTTCAGTTCAGCTTGTTCCAGACGAGCAGGAGTTGACTCACACAATGTCGACACATTAATAAACCAGAGTTAAAGTATGAGTGACTACATAACCACTGCCGCTTCAGGATTACAGTAAAACATCAGAGGAAGGTTTAGGCGTGTTATATCTGAATGTGAGTCCAAAAATGTATTTCTTCAAATGTCTAAAAATCCCCAAAAGCATTGATTTCCTGTTTCATAAGAACAAAAATCCTCACAACTGAGAATATGGAACTGTGAATACTGAATCTGACATAGTTATTTTCTTGGAAATTGAAATTGATCATTAAATTTGATTTGTGTGTAACCAATACTCACAAATCACAATCTGCCTGCAGCTTAACCTGGTTCAACATCCTCAAAGCTCAAAGTTTTCTGAAATCCTGCATTCAACAGCTCATTGAACGCAACCACACACAAACCTAATATTATTTCCTGTTTTCAAGTTATCACTGACACGTTGTTAAGTAATAAAAATTTTGCCACAGAAATTAGAAGTAGACCTGTAGTGAACACAGCGTCTCGCTTTCAGCCACCAGCTCAAATTTCCGGATGGAGGTCACTTTAAATTGCGGGGGGGTGTGAGTCGGACACAGGTGAGGTTGAGGCTACACGAGGGTTTGCGAAGGGTGCGGGTGTTCTCGACTTATCGCCATGTTTGTTTTATGGGTTGGCCCGTTGTAAAGTAGGTCATCAATTTGAAACCATCAGCACACATTTACACACCTCGAAGCGTGTGAGCTGGTTTATTTGTGTTACCTGAGCAGTGGCTCTGCAGTCGTGTGTGATTTAGAACTGACCTTGGAGCACTGACACTTAAGTCTCATGCTCTACTTTATATTCTCGGAACTAAAGATATATTTAGTGAATCAAACAACAAATTACAGATGTGTTTCGAATGAAATTATTTTATGAGACGCCTGTGAGCAAAGTTACGTTACCACAGATTTAAACCCAGATATCTAATGTAGAACAGAAGGAGCTTCTTCTTTTTTGCCATTCAACTTGGTCAACAAGATTAAAATCCTTTTCTTGTTGTATCGTCTTACAGCAGAGGGGGAAAAAAAAAGAAAGCTCACTCCCTCCATCCATTCACTCCCATTGGGATCGAATGGAAAAGCTGGTTTTGGAGCAGAAGCCGAGGCGTGGGTTGGAGGAGCAGAGCGCCAAACCTCAGCCACTGCCGACAACCACGGCGCAGTCTCAGAGGGGGGAGGCGATGAGAAGATAGAAAGGAGGGGAGATGAGGGGTGAAGCAGGAAATGAGGCATGGGGGAGTTTCGCCAAAATCCAGCAGTGGTCAGAGAGGAGGTGACGGGACGGAGGCTCAAACACAAAACTTTGTGTAGAGTTAAACACATGTACTGGTTCATGCTAATGTGATTTTATACACATATCTATTGATTTACATTGGATCATCCTCTAATATCTAGTGAAAGACAGATGATAGACAACATGATGTAAACACCACATTGGGCTTTCTGCCTGAAAATGGTTTGGCAGTCGAGGCCGTTCACATAAAGACACACCGTGTTTCATGATTCAGTTCGTAGATGGCCAGAGGGGAAACCATACAACATTGCAAAAGAGCTAAAAGTATTTTTTACTTCCTTCTTCAGTCTTCTCTGACTCATTACATCAAACTCCCAGCACATTGTTTTGTTTCAGTATGTGAGGTCTCCAGTCCGTCACCTTTCCTCATTCAGCTGCGCACCAAATCTGTGTGGGGACCATAGACTGTAATTAAGATGGACGACATGACAGCTCCCTAAGTGAAGCCAGACCATCTCGATCCCCAATCCCCAACGCTGGCTGCGTTATAGGTCATAGACCCCGCCTCCTCCTGCATGTTAGTGGATGGGACATGGCCCAAACTAAAAAGTCAAACACGTCAAACATCTTTCTCAACTATGCATTCACAGCGTACATGGTCTAAAGTAGCCACACCCAGTGAATACAATCAATTTGATGTTTGAATTAGCATCTCTGCATCTTTCCTCAGATGTTGAATGTTTTTAATGTAAAAAGGTCGAGAGCATTGTTGGACATGATACGACTGCTTAAAAATCACCAGAATCAGAGTCATGTTTGGAGTTTTGCAACTAACAGCTGAATTAATTTTACATTTTTTAAACATGCTGGACAAACATCTTGAGGTTTCTCTGGGGATGTGTTAGTTGACTTACGCAACCGTGTCTGACTTTGCAATGACTCACTGGAAACTCTTGTACATCCCACCCTATAGTTTCCTCAAAAGCTGTGCTGTGTATTTCCTGTCCTCACACTGCGTCTGATTTACTTCCAAAGACAACAAAAAGTACTTTGACCACGCTGATGAAGTGATCATTGCAGTGTTTCGGTCAGCAGAGACAGTTTATAACGCAGGCTGGTACAACTCGTACTTCTAAGAATACACACTGGCAGTGAACGTTTCGGGGAAAACTGCTTGTTTTTCAGCCGCGGTGAAACGATGTGTAACCTCCACCTGTGGCACCAGGGCACTGCAGCGGCTGGGTATCAACTCAACCTCATAAATCTGACAGATTATGACGAAATGTTTGAGGAAACAAAAAGCCAAGACGAGCCAGAGTACAAAGGCCTGACACACTGAACTAGTAAAATACTAAAACACACACACACACACAAAGGCTGCAACCACAGCGCACCAGGAAAAACATATCCAGATGTTCTCCGCATAGGATTAGTAACCCCCTCCCACACACACGCACACGCACAGACACACTTGTGGGCCACACATGGGCTACATATTACAGAGGCCCGCTCTCCAACTTCTCTTTCTTTCTTTGTCATGATCACAACGAGACACACGCTCTTACACAGCTATACTTGTGAGGACAGGACCACCACATGGAAATCACTGAGGACAGCCATTAGCAGGTTGCTCTGTCGGGGGCGTGTTTAAGACAACAACAAAGGATTCAGGACGTTTGAGTTTGTAAGTTTAACGGTGTAGAAATACAATACAAATAAATACTTTTACTTGAAAGTGTAAAAGTACTGATATCAAAATATTCTCTAAGTACCAAAAGTAAGAGTATTAATTATGCAGAACCCCTTCAGGATGA